AACGACATTAGGTTGCCATACACGTGCAACATAACTTTGAATAATTCTATCTAATATTTTTAAACTTATAAGGGGAAAAGGGTATCCAATATTATTATTTACCACAAAAAATAAAACCTGAAAATGTCCATTGAAAAGTACAATAGAAAAGAAGTAGGAAAAAGAAAGAAATCCTGCGAAAAGCCTTAAGATAGGAAACACCATGCACAAAACCATAAAAGATGTCACTTTGATGATACATATGAGAGCATCCGATTAGAACTAAAAGAATACTCGACACCTGCAATTAGAGAAACTGCAATACCATATGTAACCCCCTAGGACCGAAGCGGATGGCCCCATTCGATTCGGGGTGTCACATTAGGGCCACCGGAGCGACCTACTGTAGAAAATCTCAGAAAATTTAATTTTTTTTTATTAAAACTTGTAAAATCATAAAATTAGTTTATAAATACAAAAGTAAAATTTACAGTATTCGAAAGTAAAACAAATTTCAGACTCATATGTAAAACAAATTACAACCTACATGCCCCCGATCATCTACGCCATACTCCACAAGCAACAATGATAGAACTCCCTTACTGAAGTCGATAGCTACACATGTACGATTCTTTTAACCTGAAATGGTGAGTAACAGAGTGAGCTTTAGGAAGCTCAATAATACAATACTACGAGTTGATGCTATAGGACATGCAGATAAATGAAAAGCCTTATATTTCCTTATTGATTATGGCGTATACCGATTTTCGAGATATTCTGGATTCTACTGGTAGTTCATCGAGTAAAAGCCATGAAGATCTCAGTTCATATGAAGCATTCGTAGTATCACAATGTCTAGTGTGTTCCAATTAAAACCAGTGAAAAGATATAAATCTTTTAAAACTATAACGGGACCCTCTAACCAAACTCCATTATGCAGTTCCCCATAACTGTGTCCATAGGCTTACCCTAAGCACACAGCAATGGGAGCCAACCTAAGATATACCTTGGGACCTATGGGCCTACCCAAGGGTATCCTTAGGTCTGTAAGGTCTTACCAGCTGGATCAGGGTTGTGCCTCCATACTCTAGAATCTTATCCATATAATCCAGCAGAAAGCAGTTTTAACCGTAATTTGTAATATATGGATCGTGATCCAGTAAATCTCATAAGCATAACCATGAAGTAAACCATATAATTTCCCTCCACCTGTACGCCATAAGTAGTCCCATGATTAACTTAAAGGGAATGCCTTGGGGCCTGAGAGCCTACCCAAGGGTCACCATAAGTCTGTAAAGATTTACCAGCTTGATCAGAGTTGTATCTCTATACTCCAGTGTACCCAGATAATGTCCTAATAGAACAGTTTGGGTATAACCCGTGAAAACAGAAAACCATAGTTCATAAACCAGTAAAGTCCATGATTCCATAAACCATAGTTCATAGAACAATTCATTATTTTCGATGAAAAAAGAAATCAGATATCACATACCATGAAGCCATGGTTCATAAACCAGTAAATCAATACTTTCGTTAAAACTCATTTCAAAACATATAAAATTGTCATATAGTACAAGTGGAACACACTAGAGATCCAAGTATTTCTTTGAGACACTAGGTAGTTATCCGAATGGATAACATGAAACTGATGTAATTTGATCGGATTATAAGAACGAGGTCATTTTTAAGTGAATCAATTACTAACTGATATAGTCAGACATTTAAGGTTTATACTTTAGAATCCCACTATGATCCATGTACATCAAGAAAGTGTTCAGGAACTTTTATACAGAATAATTATAGATTCAAATTTATTAAGAGCGATTCCATTACCCAACAATAAGGGGTATTCAAGATTAGGCATTGAATGAACATGATTATAGTCCTAAATTTACCCAAATTTTTGGAGCAGTGAAAATATACCCCCTTTTCCCCGGTGAAATTCCCAATTTCTTTCCCCAAATTAGAATGAAATCCCTAACCCCCAAATATTTCCATCCCCAATCGAAGCTTCATAGGGTTCCCATGCCTCACCGTATGACCGTCATTGCTGTGCTCCACCACCACTGATCGAATCGGCATCCCACCCCAACCAAACCCCTACATCATAGACCCCGTATCGACCGCTTTTCTTTGGGAAATGGGCGTAGGAAGTTTTATCGAACTCAAGCCGATCGTTCTGTAGTTCTTCATTTTTTGGTCATTCTAGACGCCGGTACCGTAGTGCTCCTCATCCAAGCTTGAACAAAACGCAGCCTGTAGCAGCGCCTCACCGTCGTTCTATCGTCGACGACCATGGGTAAGCGATTTGAGTCTTTCTTTTCTTTAATTCTGATTTGATTTGGCTGATAATTAAGGTTGTTTTGGATTGATTATGTGATTATTGAACCATGGAGTAATCGACCACCCAGAATAGCCCTTGTCCCCATCTCATGTGCCGCCATGCATTGACGATGCGTGTTGGCCTTGTCCACGCTCCAATGAAGTCTTCAGAACCGGCTCAGCCGTTCTAGACTAGCCCGAACCGGTCAACCCGGTTTGAACTGAACCGAGTTAAACTGTCTACCGACCCGCCTTGTCCGGCCTAGTCACCAAGTCAACTCGGTCCGAGTCAACCCGTCCGAATCAACCCTGTTGACTTTGACCATTGACAAAAAGTTAACTTTTTCTAAAAGGTAATATTTTATGTTTTTTGACGTCCTGAGTCTGAATCCGAAGTACGTTTTGCCCAATTCGCACCCGGTAAGCCGTTTTTCAGTATTTTATCTTCAGATTCAAGATAGTTTCAAAATTAAGTTCAGTTTCTTATGTAAATTCAGTTGCTTTGTATCCGAGGAATTATTGGATGTTGAATTCAAGTTCGAGGGTGATCAAATGGAGTTTAAATGGTCGATCGGTATGACACATAAATCAAGGTAATAAAGTAATACATGTTTCATGCTTTATGGAACATGTTAGTATTGATTCTTGCATAGATAAATTTAATTGTTCACATGTATATAGTGATTATTTCCTAACTCGATCCAAATACTAAAAATTTCGGTAACCAGATAGGACTTATATGGCTTCCTTAAGAAAGTGGAAAACCAATCGGAAATAATAATAATAATAAGCTCGGTGATTCAATAATTAGTAAATTGACTTCAAGATCCGTAAATTTTGATTAATTTCTTTGAAGGTTAAATACCGAGAATATTTTGATAGTATGTTACCTAAAATAACCCTAAGAGGTAAAATTACAAAAATGCCTTTGTACTGAAAAAGGACCAAAACTTTCCCTAGTGGTGACATTAACCTCCGGTGTGTAAATGAGCAAATTACTCTGAACTTTAATGGAACTGAAATACTTTCAAGCCTAAGTTACCATAAGTAATGCCACTGACGAAATGAATGAAATTATGATAATACCCTTAAAGTGTAAAAAAGTAATATGATTGATTATGATAATGAGGATGACCTGAGAGGTCATATCTTGATTCAATTGAACCATGGAATCATCGATTTAAATTCCGGATCTATATTGTATTTATAGAAATGCCCTAAAGTGTAAAATGACCAAAATATCCCTAAAAAATAAAATGGCCTAAAGTATTTCCAAGACCTGGAATGACTAATGCCCTTAAGCTCCGAAATGAATAAATCAACCTCTAGTCCTAAATTTACTTCACTTTCCAAAACTGACTTCCAAATTTAGAAACTTATAAATTGACCCCTAAATCGGGGTGTGACACCATATACAAAAAAACGCTTGGCAGAGACAAACAGAGCAATCCATTAAAAATGAGTAGATTTACGAGAGGTAGTTTTAAGAATTCGAACATCTTTAGGGTTTCAAGTGAAATCTAGCACATAAAGGCATGAACGGGGCCATTTACTTTTTACCCAAAAATGGATCCGTATAAGAGCGAGGTCCAAAACGTGATCAGCTGTGAACGTTTTACTATTAAAAATTGTGTCCTTCCAGTACAACTAAATTGTCCAGAGGAAACATAAAAGAGCTAGAGACCAAATCGGTTTCGAAGAAGGCTTGACAGGTAAATTCATCCAAACGGATATGAAAGAATTGAAATTCCTTGGCGTTACTAATAAGAAATCCCATACCTACACCACTTAGACCAAATGTTCCATGAAAAAAGGTAGTGCAAGAGAATGTGACTTATTGATTCGGCCTCTTTAGAGCAGACAATACAGAGGGAGTTTAAACTCGCAACAACACCACGCTTTGCGAATTCAACAGAGGTAGGGATTTGGCCATGGATAACTTTTCATACGAAGGATACAAATTTAGGTGGGCAAGATTAACCCAAATAAGCTTACAGCTTGGATCTTCTTGTATGCCAAACGATTGGGACAGATCATAAAAAAGCTTTGGACAGTACAATCCTTCAGACGAGGCTTTCCACATGATTTTATCAATTTGTTTGCGAAAAAGAGGCCATGTTTTGTTGAATTTTATTGATTCATAACAATTTTGATTTGGTCTTTAGTAGTTAGCGTGATTTACTCCTTAATTTATGAGTCAAAATAAGTTATGATTTAGTGTTGATAATATCTTTGATTAGTTGAGTTTTTTTCTTTTAAGTAGTACTTTGTAAGCCTACAAATAGTCATATTACTATTGAATAAAGTGTGCATTTCCTTTCCACAATCATATTTGTTGTCATATTTACTTCTTTCATTGCTTTGTTTCCAACATTTGTGGTATCTAGAGCCATGTTTTTTTTAGTGATATGATGATTGCAAATAACAGTTTAATGAGTATCTCCCAACCTACTATTCCTATTTTCAAAGGAGAATGTTACGATTTCTGGGTGTCAAAATGAAAACTCTATTCAAATCTCAAGATCTTTGGGTTTTGATAGAGAATGGATTTGTTGATTCAGATGAGGAGAACCAACTTAAAGACAATCGAAAGAATGATTCAAAGGAAATGTTTTTTATTCAACAAGCTGTTCATGAGACTATTTTTTTCGAGAATCGCTGGAGCTACTACTTCGAAACATGCTTGGAAAATATTTCAGAACGAGTTTCCAGGCTCAACCAAAGTAATAGTGGTGAAACTGCAAGCTTTAAGGAATCAATTTGAGACCTTATTCATGAAAAATAACGAAACTGTACATGATTTTCTGTCAAGAGTTACAACTATTACTAGTAAAATGAAGGCCTATGGTGAACAGATCACTGATGAGACTATTGTTTCAAAGGTGTTACGAAGCTTACCCTCAAAATTTGATCATGTTGTTACAGCAATTGAGGAGTCCACAGATTTTTCTGTATTTTCATTTGATGAATTGATGGGATCTTTGCAATCTCATGAGGTTTGAATTAATAGATCTTTTGAAAAGCATAAAGAACAAGTGTTCCAGGTGAAAAGGATGATGCCCGAAATGACAGCTGATAAATGATGAGGCAGAGGTGGAATGTGTGGTAGAGGTAGAGGCCAAAGTGGGTAACAAGGTAGAGGCCAATGTGGGCAATGACCACAATATAGAAATAGCATCCAATGCTACCATTATGGAAAGTTTGGGCATATTGAGGCAAATTACTGGGAAAAAACTGAGAAAATGAATTATGTAGAAGAATATCATAATGAAGAGGAAGAAACTAAATTGTTCATGGCAACTTACAATGCTGATGGTGTGTCAAATGATGTTTGGTTTGTTGACAGTGGATGTTCCAACCACATGACAGGCGTAAGGTCGATGTTCAAAGAACTCGATGAAAGTTATAAAATCAAAGTCAGACTTGGTGATAACAAAAAGATTCAGGTCAAAGGGAAAGGTACTATAGCAGTGAAGGTTAAAAATGGTAAAACAAAATTCATTTATAACGTTCATTTTTGTTCCTAGTTGGCATTCAATTTGTTAGTGTGGGCAGCTTATGAGTAGTGGATTTTTTATACTTTTTTATGGTGATTTATGTGTTATAAAGGATCAAAAGATAGGGAAAATTATAAATGTGTAACCCCAGACCCGGTCTGTAAGTTAGACCCAAACCTAAGTGGTCACATATCCCATTCAAAGTTTTTTTTATATTCTTAAAATACATTAGATATAATATAGAACAAAATATTAATAATACAGATATATCCAAAACGATAGCAAATACATGTCACCAAACATAACCGAAAAACATATAGAGATATACGTTCGTACAAAATAAGCAGTTGATATCCCCTGATGCCAAATCTGCTAGCTACGGTCTGCTGTTATCTAAAAAAGGTAAAACTACAGAATGAGCTAAAAAGCCCAGTGTGCTCCATACAGTATAAAAAAACATACAAATAAAATCTTTCAATAAAATCGGTTTATGCATCATGTTTTTATTTTTAAACATGAACACTACCCCATCCGTTCACATCATAAATGTGTAGGTTCTCCAAAACAATACACCCAACCGCACATGCCATTTAGACCCTGAGCACAAAGCCGAGGAGTCTGCAGATAATCTTCCTTCAACAATACTCCCCAATGACAATATTAAACATGAATGTATTCAAGTAAAAATAATGATTAATCACTTAAAACATAAAAATGTTTCATACTTGGAAACCATATGCAAAAATAAGGAAATCAGAATTCAAAACAGTAATATATGATAATTCAGATGTCAGATAATCAGATTTCAGAAATCGGTATGAAATACCTTAATCCAGAAATTATATCGGAATATACAATAAATCAGATATCAAATACTTGGTATTCAGATGAATCATTTTAAAATAGTAATGTAATACTGTCTGGAAATACACCTGTAACAGTCTGAGAAATCAGATAGGGAAGCCTACTACTGGGTTTTTCGATCACGCTCTGCTGCAGCGCTAGATCCTACGAATTGGAAAAATCCATATTGGAATCCTAATATAAATAATCTTAATCTTTTTTTAAATAATATACGGAAACCTACGGGTAATTCTTGTAGTACGCGGTCCAGGACGATCTGACGAACGAACAACTCTAGACCTAACTGATCCACGCTCAGGTGAAACACGAGTACCTTCATATAATATTTTATTGAATCAATTCCTTAACCAAAACTCAAATAAATAATCAAAATATTAAAATACTAAGCCTTTTGGGTTCACATGCTCGATTCAAGAATTTCGGGTCAGAATTTGGGAAAACGGACTTCGGAATCAGATTCATAACGTCGAAAAACATAAAGTATGACCTTCTGAAATTCTGAATTCTTGGTCAAAATCAAAGTCTACGGGTTTGACTGACGATTTGGAGACTTTCGTGTTCGAATTTGGTGAAACAGACCCCAAAAACATATTCGAGACGTTGAAAAATGTAAGGATAGGTATTCTCGAAAAAGATTAACGACCGTTTAATGGCCGGTCAAAGCCGATCAAAGTTCTGGTCAAAGGTGGTCAAGATATGAACAACCATTTTACGAAAATAGCATCATTTTTAAAACAATTACCAAAATATCACCATTTTCAAAATAATTACTAAAATAACTTTTAAAAAAATTAGGATTTTTTTAAATTATGAAAATAACACCTTTTTCAAAATAATTACCAGAATGGCACCCTTTTCCAAATAATTACCAGAATAGCACACGGTCAACGGGTCGGGTCAACGGGTCAGGTTGTAACCGGTTCAAAACCGGTGAAACCGGTCATTTTGACCTTCCCCACGCGTAGTGGCGGCGCGTGGGACGGCTTCCGGTAGCGTTTAATTCACAAAACAAATTTTAAAAATTAATTTGAGCTATATCGAGGTATTTACAAAGCTCAGTTCAAATTTTTGAACGGCGGAGAGCTCGATTTCAACAAATCGAAAACTTTGACCGCTTCACCTCCCTACGCGCCGTCGTCGACGGAGACCAAGGATGACACCGGTGGACTCGGAACGGCACAAGGAACACGATGGTGCGGGAGGTGTCGTAAAAGGAGCAACGATCGGTGATGAATTTAAGAATTTCTCGACGATTGAGCTAAAAAAACGTCGAGACTTTGACTTGAAATTAACGGCATTTGGCAGCGTTTCACTTCAATTAATTTAAGAGGTTTGTTCCTCACTCGTTGATGAACACGATGGTGTTTTCAAAACGACGATCAGAGGTCGGACGACATCGGGATCGTGGTTATAAGTTGGGGCTTGAAATGAGGAAAACTTATAATTTTTTTCTTAATAATTCACCCCCACGCACATCTGATTCTCTATTTAATAGAGTGTCTACCGACACTTTTTTTTGGGTAAATTTATGGTTTAGTCCCTAAAGTTCCTTAAACTCTACAACAACCTACAAGTTTTGAAAACTTTTAATTTAGTCCCCAATTTTCACCAATTACACAATTAAATCCTCAAATTTCAATTAAATATTATTTTAAAATTTCCAGGTTGTTACAAAATGTCCCTATGAGTGGGAGCAACATGTTTCCTCTAAACATTTCAGATGCAGGAGATTATGTCTTCGTAGCTGATCAAAGAAGTGAGTCAAAACTGTGGCATTTGCGGTATGGACATCTCAACGTCAAAGGATTACAATTGTTGAGTAATAAAGGTATGGTTCATGGTTTACCAAAAATTAATTTCTTTGATCTCTGTGAAGGGTGTGTGTATGGTAAACAAACAAGGCAATCATTTCCTGTTGGGAGATCTTCGAGAGCTTCAAATTATCTTGAGTTAGTTCATGATAACTTGTGTGGACCTATGGATACGAAATCGTGGTGGTAAGTTGATATTTATTTAATGTTCACTGACGATTATAACAAGATGAGCTTGATTTATTTTCTCAAACTCAAGTTAGAAACATTTGAGAATTTCAAAAAATTCAAAGCCATGGTTGAAAAGCAAAGTGAGACCACCATTAAAATCCTCAGAACAGACAGAGGGGGTGAGTTTTATTCTACTGATTTTATTAATTTTTGTGAAGGTGTTGGAATACGTATGGAATTGACAGCACCATACACTCCAAAGCAAAATGGGGTAGCAGAGCGGGAAAATCGTACAGTTGTTGAGATGGCAAGAAGTTTGTTAAAGGCTAAAAAATTACCAAATGATTTCCGGGCTGAAGCAATAGCAACTGATGTGTACCTGCTGAATATATCTCCCACCAAGGCTGTTCTCAATTGTACACCACATGAATCTTGGAGGGGTACAAAACCATCCGTGAATCACTTGAAGATTTTTTGTCTTGCCTATGTTTTGGTAAGTTCTCAAAACCGTAAAAAAACTTGATGAAAAGTCTGAAAAATGTATCTTTATCGGATATTGTTTGCAATCTAAATCATATCGATTATATAATCCTCTTAGTGGTAAAGTGATAATCAGCAGGAATGTGACATTTGATGAAAGTGAAAGTTAGAATTGGGAAAAAGAGAATGAAAACTCACAAATTCAATTTCCAACAAAAGATAATACAAACTCTATCACAGAATATACTAGCCAACCAAATGGCTTAGCGAACAGTCCACCAATAAGTCCACTAAACAGCCCACCAATCAGTCCACTAAACACACCAAACACTAGTCCTACAAACTCACCATCGTCCACTAGTCAATCCTCTAATGAAACCACCTCCACAAAAATACAGATCTTTATAAGAGATTTATGAGACTTGCAATTTTGCTTTAGTAGTCTCAGATCCACTCACTTTTATGCAGGATGTAGAAAAAGAGGATTGGTGCAGAGCAATGAAGGAAGAAATCATGGCAATTGAGAAAAATGAAACATGGATGCTTGTAGACTTGCCTTAAGGTAAAAATGCTATTGGGTTGAAATGGATATACAAAACCAAATACAATTCATATGGGAGTTTTCAGAAGCATAAAGCTCGATTGGTGGCAAAAGGTTATGCTCAACAATAAGTTATTGATTTTGATGATACATTTTCTCCTGTTGCTCGTTTTGAAACAGTGAGAACTTTTCTAGTCTTGGCCGCACAGATACAATGGACGGTGTATCAGTTAGATGTTAAAATGGCATTTTTAAATGGTTACTTGATTGAGGAGTTGTATGTTATGCAACCAGAAGGATTCATTATTCAAGGGAAGGAAGATAAAGTATACATATTGAGAAAGGCTTTGTATTGCCTAAAACAGGCTCCTCGGGCATGGTATAGTAAGATTGATTCATTTTTAAACAAAATGGAATTAAAAGAAGTGATAACGAGCCTACACTGTATTTAAAGAAAAAAGGTAATGATTTACTACTTGTTTATCTTTAAGTTGATGACATAATTTACATGGGCTCATCTCACTCTCTTACTGATGAATTCAAATTGAGCATGATAAAAACATTTGAGATGACAGATTTAGGCTTGTTTCATTGTTTTCTTGGGTTAAAGATTAAGCAAGGAGAAGATGGTGTGTTTATCTATCAAAAGCAGCATGCAGAGGATCTTCTTAACAAATTTAACATGCAGAATTGTAAGATAGCAATTACTCCAATGAATGTTAATAAGAAACTGCATCTTGAAGATGGAAAAAAGAAAATTGATTCAGCAGTGTATGTGATGAATTAAAGCATGTTATAAACTGGTATTTAAGTGCATTGATGGTACATTATGTATGCATCATGACATGATATATTGGTATGATCGTTGATGTAAAACATTTG